GGAGAGCCTAATTTGGGCAGATTTTGGGAGCTCACTGCCTAGACTACCACGAACCACACCACGATCCATGGTCCCCACCACAAGTCATCGGGGTGGTCGTGGTCACAAGGGTAGTGTCTAGGGGAGAGTGGATTGTTTTGGTCCTCTCACTTGGCCTTTGCCCACCTCCTTAGCTGTTACCCTCTCATTTTAGTTCTAGTTTAGTCTACGAATTTCCAGAATATTACAAAAAACTTAGGCGAACAGCATTTCCTATCGGCGAAGGGAGATTATGTCGCTGAACGAACTGGGTGAGACCAAAATGAAATTGAATTAGCGAGCTAAAGGACTGAAGGGGGCATCGAGGAAACGAACGGCGATCCCGATCTAGATCGCCTAAAATCACAATGTCTAAAGGATGATAAGTGACAAAATAAGGCGATAGACAATAATGATCGACGAGTCCCCAACTGGTTGGCGAAGCCCAACTTTTCTCGTCGATTGACCCCAAAAAGCCATTCCTTGGATCGATATAAATTTATTTTTGGAAGAGAGAGAGGGCATTCAGTCAGTTTTGAAAAGAAGAAAGAGAGCAAAAACATTAATGTTGTCGATTTTTATCCATTTGGGTAAGATATTTCAATTGGGTATTGGAAGAGAAGAAATTTTGTTCATCTTAGAACTTCGATTTTCAATACCCAGCTATAGAGCATGTAATAGGTATTGAATTTCTCCCTTTTATGATGATTAGCTAAAATCTCAATATTGGGGGTTTGACAATGTGACTAATTGTGAAGTTTGGCTTAATGGGTGTTAATTATTATCGATTATAGTGCTAATTCATATTGGGTCTGATTTATCGTTGTGGTTCAACTGCTCTATCGAATGTTTATTTTGATATATTTTTGGTGCTTTAGGCTTGCTTGAGAAAGAGGTATAAAGTCAAAGTGATAACTTGGCACTCATGGTGAGTGGGTCATGATGGATTTAGCGAGAGAGAGAGTGAATTCTACTACTCATGCTATGTATTCAGCTCGAGAGAGTGGAGGTAGTGAGATTGTGGACTGGTCCTTATCTTTGAAGCGTTGAGGTTCGAGAAAACTCAATTGACATGGGGTAATTGTTCGGGAGAAAATTGTCTCACCTAAAGTCCACTCTACCCATTAATGGTTGGTACTCTTTTTTAGCAATTTACACCCATTGGCCGAATTTAGTGACTGGTTTGTCAAACCCCAAGTTCCTTCTACCTATTTGGTTATTTTCAGTTATTTGTCGTGGTTGTTTGCTGAATTAAGAAGCCCTTCATCTTGACATTGTTGTCAACCTTCAAATTTCATTGATAGCCTCAAAAATCTTTAATCCTTTTAGCTACAAAATTGTTGTTGTGACTTCATAGTTGAATTCGAAATACATACCGCTCCCTGTGGGATTCGACCCCAACTAATTTAGTTGGGTTTTATACTGATTTACTATCGTTACACCTAGAATTGGGTGAGGTGTGCTTGAAATATTATATCAAAATGGCGTCGCTACCGGGGAGTGGTGTTGTTTAGAATTTTCTTATTGAAGTGTGATTTGTGATTTTGTTGGCTGAAGTGGAATCGATTTGATTTTTTCTTGTGTTTGTATTGGTTGTGTTGAGAAAACGAAGAAATGAGTGAGACAGAGGGTAATGGTGGTCAAATAAGCCACCAAGGTGATATTTAAGATCTTAATAGTGCGTATAATCCAGTCCTATTGGGTGGAAGTGGTGCAATCAGGCTGTCGTCAACTGAAGAGAGTGTTATATTCCATGTCACCAATACAACCCTTCATCTCCTTCGAATGAAAGGACTCTACGAAGGAATGACTCATGAAGACCCACATGAGCATATGCGAAATTTTATAGATGTTTGTGGCCCGTTCTCCTACAAGAATGTATCACAAGAATTAGTCAATCTCAGATTATTTCCTCTGTCTCTAACGAGTGAAGCGAGCAAATGGTTAGCTGAGTTACCAAAGAATTCTATCACATCATGGGATGAGCGAACTATGGAATTCAATGTGAGGTTCTTTCCCCCATCAAGGATATTGAAACTAAGAGATAGCATTCAAGGGTTCAAGCGATTGGAGGGTAAACCGATCCACGAAACATGGTTGAGGTTTAAGAAGCTACTACTTCAATGCCCAACTCACGGGCTTCCAAACAATGCCCTGCTACAATACTTCGATCGAAGTCTCGACTCGGTAAATAAAGGAGTAGCTTATCGATTGATTCAAGGTAAAATAATGTTGCAATCATTTGAGGTAGCTTCGTTTCTTCTTGACGACATGACGAAATGAACCAAGCTTGGTACACTCAAAAAGATCAAGTTTCCCCTTTTTGCTTTAGAATGACTCAAGAACAACTTGATAAAGAGAAAGAAAGGGACTAGAATATCAAGAAAATGCTATCCCAAATAGAGATGCTACAAACGCAAGTGTTAGAAAATGTGAGCAAACCCAAAGGAGCAAGGGGAGTGTTTAGAGTTGAGAAGTGTTCTTCCTCGACCTATTCAAAGCTGGGGGAGAATCAAGGTTGGAACTCTCACAAAGAAGAAGGGCGGAGAAGATACTATCAAGAATGGACTGAGCAAAGTGATCCTTGGAAAAGAGCGGATGATCATGAAGAGGACCACACACAATCAAGTGAGAGCCCAAAGTCAAAGGGGAGTACAAGTAGTCTCCGAGTGGATGATTTGTTGTCTCACATCCTTGATACAGTAGAGGGACTCGGATGACTTACTAAAAGGGATGAAACCCAACTTCTCGTCATTGAACAATATAGTGAATTCTCATGCTCACGCAATCAAGATAGTTGAAGGTCAGTTGAACCAACTTTCGGCACAACTGGGACCAAAAGCAATGGGGGATGACAACACCACACGTTTAACAACTTTGGTGGAAGAAGGTGATAGAGATTTGGTTGTGGTTACTCGAAGTGGAAAGGTAGCGGTAGGTGATATGAAAGGAAATGATGAAGCTCAAGCTCATGAAGAAGATAAAGGCACTGAGGAAGAAGAGATACTCATCCAACAAAGCATTACTAAAGAGTCACGAAAAGATGTAGAAAAAAGCAATAAAATCTCAAAAGTGGAGCAACCTCTCCCCAAAATTCCTCCTCCATTTCCCCAACGTCTCAAGAAGAAGAACGAGGATGAAAAGTTTAAGAAGTTCTTATCGGTGTTCAAGACATTATTGATTAATCTCCCTCTAGTGGAGGCATTGTTAGAGATGTCTGGTTATGCCAAGTTTATGAAGTAGTTAGTCACAAAGAAAAGAAGCTTGGACTTAGAAATAATTGAAGTTTCTCATAGTTGTAGTTCAATTATGACTAATGAGATGATCAAAAAGAAAGAGGATTCCGGAGCTTTCACCATCCCTTGCACTATCAGTATGCTCCAATTTGCCAAGGCCCTAGTGATTTAGGAGCAAGCATAAGCCTAATGACATATGCAATCTATAAACAACTTGGGTTAGGTGAACCGAAATCCACAACAATGAGAATCTTCATGGCAGAGCGATCAATTAAACACCCGTGGGGATACTATATGACATCATGGTAAAGGTTGACTGATTCATCTTTCCGACTGATTTTGTCATTCTTGACTGCGAGATGATGCTGAAATCCCCATTATTTTGGGTAGACCATTCTTGGCAACCGGGAAAGCGTTGATGGATGTTGAAAGTGGAGAATTGAAGTTCCGAGTGAATAAAGATGAAGTCACATTTAATGTGTGTAGGTCAATGAAGCATCCAAGCGTTATTCATATGGTCTCTACTATTGATGTAATTGATGAAGCGGTGGCTAGTGTGAGCCATTTGATGTGTATAAGTGAACCACTTGAGGCTGTGATTGCAAACTATGATGAGATCGAAGTCCAAGGTTATGATGAGGTAGTAGCCACCCTTTCGGGTTTGGGAGAATATTCAAAGACTCCATTGAAGTTGGATATTGATTTAAAAAATTGAGAAAGTCCTCCCGCTAATCCATCTACGGAGGAACCACCGAAGCTTGAGTTGAAAGTGTTCCCTTCCCATCTTTGATATGCATTCTTGGGAGTGAATAACACCTTACCTGTAATCATTGCAGCTGATTTTCTTGAATGGCAAGTAAAGTTGCTTCTTGAGGTGTTTAGAAGATATATCAAAGCTACAGGATAGACTATCGCTGACATTGTGGGCATTCCTCCCGGCATTTGCACTGACAAGATTCAGCTTGATAGCGAATGTAAACCGAGTGTTGAACATCAAAGGAGATTGAAACCACCGATACAAGAGGTGGTAAAAAGGGATATAATAAAGTGGTTGGATACAGGTGTGATCTACCCTATTGCGGATAGCAAGTGGGTGAGTCCGGTACAATGTGTACCGAAAAAGGGAGGCATCACGGTAGTCCCAAATGAATAGGGGAAGCTTGTGTCTATGAGACTAGTAACCGGATGGAGAGTATGCATGGATTACCAGAAGTTAAACTCGTGGACCGAAAAAGATCACTTTCACATGCCTTTCATGGATCAACTGCTTGATCAACTTTCAGAAAGAGGATGGTATTGCTTTTTGGATGGGTACTCCGGTTATAATCAAATCTCTATTGCTCCGAAAGACTAAGAGAAAACTACCTTCACATGCCCATATGGAACTTTTTCTTTCAAACGGTTGTCGTTCGGGTTGTGTAATGCTCCGTCAATGTTTCAACATTGCATGCTATCTATTTTCGCTGACATGGTAGAAGATTCAATGGAAGTCTTCAAGGATTACTTCTCAGTTGTGGGTGATACTTTTGAAGCATGTCTGGCATGGTTGGGGCAGGTCCTTCAAAGATGTGTGGAGACAAATTTGGTCCTAAATTGAGAAAAAATGCCACTTCACAGTTAGGGAAGGTATAGTTCTTGGTCACAAAGTGTCACAAAAAGGGCTGGAGGTTGATAAAGCAAAGATTGAAGTGATTGAGAAGTTACCACCACCAATCTTGGTGAAGGGTATTTGTAGTTTCTTAGGGCATGTCGGCTTTTACTGGAGGTTCATCAAAGACTTCTCAAAAATTGCACACCACTTATGCAAACATTTTGCAAAAAGTGGTGAAATTCAACTTTGATGATGCATGTATGGTAGCCTTTAAGTGTTTAAAAGAAAAATTGATCTCCACCCCGATTATCATTAGTCCTGATTGGTCAGCACCCTTCGAAGTGATGTGTGATGCAAGTGGTACAGCATCAGGTGTCGTGTTGGGGCAAAAACGCAACAAACTATTTCATCCCATTTACTACACAAGCAAAACTCTGAATGGTGCTCAATGTAACTATGTAGTTACGGAGCAAGAATTACTCGCGGTGGTATATGCATTTGAGAAATTTCGGGCATACTTGCTAGGCACTAAAGTGGTTGTTCACACTGATCATGCTGCTCTGCGTTATTTGATAGCAAAGAAGTATGTCAAGCCAAGATTGATAAGGTGGGTGTTATTGTTGCAAGAATTTGACTTTGAAGTCAAAGATAGAAGAGGTTGTGAAAATCAGGTGACTGACCACCTATCAAGATTAGAAGGAAAGGAGAATGACGAGCTGCAGATAGACATAAATGATGCATTTCCCGATGAATAGGTATTCACGGTAACTTTATAACAAACTCCTTGGTATGCTGATTTTGCTAACTATGCAGTATGTGGGTTGATACCGGAAGAACTGAACTTCTATCAACGAAAGAGGTTTCTGTTCGATGTCAAGAAATACTTTTGGGATGAAACATACTAATTCATAGAGTGTGCAGACCATATCATTCGGTGATGTCTGCCTGAAGAAGAATTCAATGAAATTCTCCATTTTTGTCATTCTTCACCGGTTGATGGTCATCATGGTGGAGTGCGTACAACTTCTAAAATCCTTCAAAGTGGTTACTACTGGCCATCCCTTTACAACGATGCTCATGAATTTGTTAAGAAATGTACGCAATGTCAAAGATAAGGTGGAGTGTCCAGAAGACATGAGCTTCCTCTAAAACCTATTTTGGAAGTTAAGTTATTTGATGCTTGGGGAATAGATTTCATGCGTCCATTTGTCAGTTCGTTTGGTAATCAGTACATTTTGGTGGCAGTAGATTATGTTTCTAAATGGGTAGAAGTTGTGGCATTACCAAACAATGAAGGGAGAAGTGTTGTTCAGTTCCAAAAATGTTACATCTTTACTAGGTTCGGCACTCATCGGGCTACTATTAGTGATAGAGGATCCCACTTTTGCAATAGGCTTTTTGCATCCACATTGAGCAAATATGGGGTGAGACATAAATTAGCAACACCATATCATCCTCAAACGAGTGGCCAAGTGGAAGTTTCGAATCAGGAGATCAAGAGTATCTTCGTTAAGACCGTAAATGCAAATAGGACTGATTTGACTCGAAATTTAGATGAAGCACTGTGGGCATATCGCACCGCCTACAAGACACCAACTGGTATGTCTTCATATCAACTAGTCTTTGGGAAATCCTTCCATTTGCCGGTTGAATTAGAACACAAAGCATTATGGGGATTAAAGGCTCTAAATCTAGACTGGGCATGGACTTCAAAAGGAAGAGCAGATCAGCTCAATGAATTGGATGAATTCAGATTTAGGGCCTATGAAAGTTTAGCACTCTACAAGGAAAAGATGAAGAAATGGCACGATTCTAGAAGCCTTAGGAGGGAATTCCGAGTTGGAGATTGGGTGTTGCTGTATAATTCTCGACTAAGACTCTTTCCGGGAAAGCTCAAATTCAAATGGTCAGGCCCATTTAGAGTAACACGGGTGTTCAGTAATGGAGCCATTGAAGTCAAAGGTAAAGAAGGTCATGCCTTCAAAGTTAATGGGCAACGCTTGAAATTATATTTTGGAGAATGCCATGAAATTTATGTGATTGAAGTGGTGTATGTGGAGGATGCTTGAGAGCATTTCCACGTCGTTCCACGATGTTAAATAAGGTATTTTTTGGGAGGCAACCCACGTGTTAGTGTTTTGAATAATGTGTGTTGAATGTGCAGGTGTAGGAGACTTTGCAAAGTTAAGACTCCATCGGCGAGTCACCGAGTCAGTTCGGTGATTCTGAAGTTGATCACCTTATTGGTGTCAACAATGGGCTGAGACACTGGAACATTAGGCGGGATACTTGCACCACTCGGCAACTCGCCGAAGTGATTGGTCTACCCGACTTTCACTGCATTTTTGCATTAGCCCTGGTAGCCCAGAATCTTGGATCATTTGGCAAGGCTTCAATTCCATTAGGCGATGCGCCAATGTATTCGGCAGACTCCCTATTGTTCGCCTTTTTTCCCCCACATGGACTGGTTGCACATGGGAAATTTCGGCGAGCTCCAGATCATTTGGCGTATCACCAAACAGTTCGGTGACTCCAACTAGTTTTGACCATATGGCCGCCTAGTGAAGATTTCTTGTCTCCCTACTCTGCTTGTTTAAGTGCAATAGTTTAGTTTTATTTTTGTTGATGTTTGATCTATACTCACATTGAGGACAATGTGAATGCTTTTGGTGGGGGTGGTAGGAGTTTGTGAGAAATTGTAATTGTGGTTGTTCTTGTGCTAATTTGAGTATAGGCTATGATCAATACCGATGACTTAAATTTTGCATTTGAGGACAACTAATTTTCTTTTGTGGGTGGGGTGAGGTATTTCCATACCTACCTCTTGTGATTATATTTTATTTGTATATATAGGGTTTTGTGATCTATATTTGTGTTTTGATTGTGTTTTGATCTTATATTGTGGATGTTTGAGCTTGTTACTCCTTGTTTTGAATGAAAATGGTTTTTGACCTATTTTAAAAATTTGTGCCACCTCTATTGTGTGATTATGGTTGTTCTTGTGCAAATTTGTGTATCGGTTATGATCAATATAGATGACTTGAATAGTGCCCTTAATTGAACAAAATGAATGTGCGGCTACGATGAGGCCAATTGAAGTTGCATATACAAGGTGTGAACTTTTTGCATCTCGTTGAGACTAGATAGTTGTCAAATGAAGTCTCTTGTGATGAACACTGCACACCAGCTCGAATGAGTCTCATTTGACATTGGTGCCAATGCCTTGTGTGATGAGCTTACCTTGAACATTGTGTGTGATAACATCTAGAATCTGCCCCATTGGTCCGATTGAGTAGGTGATGCAAGCACTTGAAATGATCTTAGGCAACAATTTTAAATAGTGAAACAATTTGATGATATACCTCTTTTGTGGCCAAACTTGTGCGATGTGTGAACCTTGTTTGAACCCCTTTTGAGCCTTACCCTTTTCTTAAAAGAAACTTGAACAATTGTGATCCCTCTTTATCCATTCATCCATATCTATCATGAAGTGTGGTTTGTTTGAATAGCCAACTTAGGCCAAAAGCCTAAGTTGGGGTGTGGTGAAAAGAGAAAGTAATTCAAGAAGTGTGACAAATTCCCCGTTGAACAATGGTTTTGAAAAAAATGGAACCCCTCCATATTGTGCGGCTATGATGCCGATGACTTAAATTGTGCTCTTAATTTAACAAAATGAATGTGCATCTACGATGAGGCTAATTGAAGTTGAATATACAATGTGTGGACTTTTTGCTTCTCATTTTGACTAGCTAGTTGTCAAATGAAGTCTCTTGTGATGAACATTGCACACCAGCTTAAATGAGTCTCGTTTGATATTGGTGCCAATTTCTTGTGTGATGAGCTTACCTTTAACATTGTGTGTGATGACACCTAGAATTTTCCCCTTTGGTCTGGTTGACTAAGTGATGCAAGCACTTGAAATGATCTTAGGCACCAATTTTAAAGAGTGAAACAATTTGATGATATACCTCTTTCGTGGCCAACCTTGTGAGATGTGTGAACCTTGTTTGAACTCCTTTTGAGCCTTACCCTTTTCTTGGAAGAAACTTGAACAATTGTGATCCCTCTTTATCCATTCACCCATAACTCTCATGAAGTGTGGTTTGTTTGAATAGCCAACTTAGGCCAAAAGCCTAAGTTAGGGGTGTGGTGAAAAGAGAAAGTAATTCAAAAAGTGTTACAAATTCCCCTTAGGACAATGGTTTTGAAAAAGATGGAACCCCTCCATGTAAAAAA